AAAGTCTAATGTTACAACTAATCGGGGGTCCCTTTAACACTCCCACTCACACCTAAGTATAGTTTAGAGTTACAATTTAATGTAGCACTGTTTTTTTTTTTTTTTTGTTGGTCTGTGGGGAAAAAAAACTTGCTTGTGCACGTGAGAACCTGAAAATTCCACCTGGAAAGGCCTCATTCTAGGAGCCAATCTTGTGACCTTCTTACTACAGGTGGTAATTCTAACCACTCCACTTACCGTGCCGCCCTGACATGACAGTGCATGACTAAGTTTTAAACAGATTCCTTGCATTGTGTAGCAATCAGAGTCGGAGTTGAACATGACAGCTTTTGTTATGGAAAGACTTAATTGTCTGCACCACACTTCTCATATAATGATTGTTGGAGATCAACTCCCCACTAAACCCTGACCGGAGAAGTGGGTAAGGAAAATAAATGGAAAGATGATTTAAATGACAATGCACAAGTTTTTTTTCTTTAACACAAGTTATCTAAAGAAACAACCCGTTAGTTTCCCTTTTAAATGGTGACACGTGGAATGTGCATTTGTGGGATGAGCAGTAGAGCTGWGTATTGTTGCACACATGAAAAAATGTGGCAGATCTTCTCTGCCAAACAGCTTTTTTTTTTGCTATTGAGACTTGTTTTGAGCTTCTGGTACCCCCAGGTGTCTCGTATAAGATTTATGGCCAAGAAGCATTATYACACCAAAGAAATAAAGTATTGAACACTAATTTTCTTGCTTTTTGAGCTAAGTTTAGAACATGGCCAAGTTAAAACTGTAATTGGAACCTGTGTCTTCTTTTCATCAATCAGTTCAGGWAGAAAACAGAAAAGAAATGTCACCAAGTCCACCATTACAGTGAGGTGGTGCTGGCAGAATGACCCAGGGTGCAGACAAAATCCAAAACGTAACCATAAAGGCTTTATYAAACACAAAAGGCTGACTGGGCGGCTCAAAAGGTACTCACAAATGGGCCTCTCAGAGGAACACGGGGGACAACCACACTGACTGGAGAAACAGTACAATGATCGGACAAGGCACAAAGGACAGAACACACACTGTAAAAAAATGAAATGTTTGGATTTATTTAACCATGTTATGTGACCTGGTTCCACTTTACTGAGTTGAGTAAATTCAAAGCAATATACCAGTTTTTTAACCAAAGAACATGAGCATGTTGCTTTGAATTTTACTCAACTCAGTTAAGTGGAACCAGGTCACATAACATGGTTAAGTAAATCCAACATTTCATTTTTAGAGTGCAGAATATAAAGTCAGAACTTAATCAGACAACAAGAAACACCTTCAACCTAACCCTAGCCTGAAGGAGACACAAGAGGAAACAGGTGAGCTTGGGTGGGGCTGGAGGAATGACAGCAGGGCAGAGATAGGGGAACACAGAAACACAAGAAAACTTCATTATTTATTTATAAATTTATTTCAAACAGATTAAAAAAACAAGCAATCAGTAGGACAAAGAAACCACGTGCATACACAACCAAGAACCCAATTACCACTACTTTTCTGTTTGAAAGGGCGTAGGAAGAAGTGAACACTTATTTAAAACTAAGGCAGAAAAGACAGACTGTGACAATTATGACAAAATGGAAATTATTTAAAAAAACAGACATTCGATACACGTTGCGTATCAATCTGTGAGAAATACCCAAAACGTTTCATCTTTCTTTTTCTTGTTTTCGTAATTAGAACAAGCGCGTGCATTCAGATTTTGTTAATGCAAAACAAATAACTGATCTCATATTGCATTAGGAAACATTAAAAAAAAATCATGGTGGTTGTTTCGAATGTGCATGCCGCAAGCAACAAATACAATAAGAGGATGAAGACTAAAAAAAACTGAAGTGGTCAAAGTGTCAGATGTTTATCAGCATCCTTTTGTCTGAGCTGAAACATCCCAATTTGTCATCAGACTGTGATCAGACATACAATAATTAGACAACTCTGCTGACAACATGCCACAGAATTATTTCGTCACTCCTAAATAGAACAAGTTTTATTTCATTTTTTAAAACCATCCCTGTGACTGAATTTTAAATATGTGCGGATAATCTTCCTCYGAATGCTTTGGCCACCATTTTAAGCTGCTGCAAGAGCTGTTTAGACTGCAGGGTGAGGTGAGGCCCGCCCACAGAGGAGGAACCCTTCATACAGTTCATGGCCTGAAACAGAACAAATGTTCCTCTGCTTTTAGTTTCTTTTTTTCGACTTAATGCTTCGCCTCACTGCAGTTGTGTTGTGAGCGAATCCTCCACAGGTGTGCAGGGGGAGGGAACCAGGAGGAGGGTACAGGAAGAAGGGAGGGGGCGTCTACTTTACTTGCTCCCACCTTTCTCACAGCATCTGTTTGCTCGGTGAGAGCAGGGTATCGTTTCGTTGAGGCTCCTTGGATTTTTATATCTTTATTTCACTTTATAAAACAGTATTTTTTTTTCTTTATTTAAGAACAGCTTTCTTTCTGCGAGGCGCTGCTTGGACTTGTTTGGGATTTGTTGACGCTTCTCTCACAGGTGAGTCATTAGGGATGATTTCAAATTCTCGGGAAAAAAAAAAGCCACAGATTCATTTTCAAGAAACAGAGATAGGACAAAAAGGCTTTTTATTTGTATTGTTTGTTTGTTTGAAGAAGAATGTTGTTTTGTAGATTCGAATCATTTTATTGGTTTTAGTTTTGGCTTARCTATTGTATGGTTAATTATAAACGCAGCTGACAGCTCAGAGCGTTTCCGTTTTTCCTGTTTAAATTATGTTAAAGCCATTTAATCTGCCTCCTCCTGAGTTCTGATGAAACTGGGTGAATATTCTCGAGTCAGAGTTCTGCTGACGCTGAGACTATTTCTCTTATTC